ATTAATTATAGGACTTGAACAGTGGAACTTTGTAACTGAAGAAGAAATTCTGTCTGCTTAAAGAATTAAAGAGAAAGTATTGTCACATAAAACGAAGGAATTGAAACAATTTACATTGAAAGAAATGTTTAACAAAGTAAACAAATAAATATTAAGCTTTTTCTTTTTGCAAATTTTGATACCCTTTAAATCATAATTGTTCTTTATTTCATAAATTATGGTTTCATATTTTTAATTTTATAATTTCTGCATGCCATCTTACCAGACTTAAACTGATGATCTATAATCCGGAATTGCCGAAGTCCCAACGAGTCCAGATTAACGACTTTTGACTGTACTACATTTAGTAAGGAATTATAAGCCAAATAAAATAAAAACATCTGCCCTGAAGATAAGGATAGTGCTGACAAATCAACTTCCAATTCATCACGCGCCAGGTTGTCCCCATTTCCGCCGCAGAGCAGCGTGAAATTGATAAACAGATTTTGGAATGGTTAAGAAACAAAGGATATGCCTTTATCCATTTTTCGCAGTAATTCCACTTTTTGTTTAATGGACTTCGAAACATACTTTCGCTTTGTAGATCCTTTACATATTAGTAAATTTATATATCAGAAATTCTATTTGGCATAATCGAAAGTTCAATCTTACTTTTATAAAATTGCTCTGACAGTCTGCAAAATGTAATAAGCCGGATCTAATTCGAAGATTAAGGAACAACACAATCTGCAACATTAACTGAATTAGATAATTCTTACCTTATACCATCCGTTATACATTAAACGCGCATTCGTAAACGTATTTTGCACTGTGCACACGCATATTCGCAGCCGTAAAGGTCTTACGTGCATGCATCAACGCGACGCATGCGCAGAAAGTTTGTAGCTTTGAGGTCCGGATTATAGATCATTCCAGATTATGGGTGTCCGAATTTACGACTTTTGACTGTACAATGTTTGAAAGGAGGCGAAAACAACTTTTCTTACCAAAACAAAAAGAATATCAGAAGAGCTCACTACCTAAATTCTATTCTTCACAAACAAAAATAAAATTTTAATTAAAAATATTCTAGAATTGTTATTGATATTAGTAGGGAGTTAATTGAATAATTTAAACCGAAATACCTTACAGTTAATGAGAATTTTATCAACTGTAAGCTATATATGTTTTATTTTATAAACTAAGCTATACTGAAATCCTTATTTTAGACTTGATATTTAAAAAAAACTGTTCAATTTTTCAACTTCAATGCTCAGGTTTTTCATACGATAAAAAAAGTTTACAACAGTTCGCTTTAAATTAAATATGAAATGAACATATCAGATGCATACTAATGAACTACTTTAAACAAAAAAAATAACAACAAATCTCGTGTAATATACTTTGTATGACATAAATATGAACTGAGAAAAAGATATTAAAAACACATGAAGAATTCTAAGACATGCTTAATAATATGCAGAAATGATTTGACAGTGAAGCTATAGATTTGGCTTAGTTTTACTCTGATATCGCCTAATTACGCAAATTTGCTGAAGTAATACAGTTTTAGCGGAAGCACTTCCGCAGAGAACCCGGTAAATGTAACCATCGCCAACTTTGGCGATAATAGCTCTAACTTGGTAACCCTTCGGATTTATCCCATTCGCTTGTTCAAAGATTGCAACCATTCCTCTTGCGTTTATTTTGTTGAATTATCACTGTCGTTGTTCACATTTGGCAGATTTATATTATAATCTTCTTATTTATTTATTATTTTTTCTGAATTTTTTAACAACGAATAGATAGAAATATTTTCGTAGATAGATGCCGGTTCTCGGTTCGGGATGAAAGGAGGGGTGAATGCTAACTTTATACGGGGGGTGGGGTGAATGCTAATTTGTAATACAGCTGTTTCACGTTGTGTTCTTAATTATTAACAGCTCGATAAGCATGCAGAACCATGAGGTTTTCCAACCGTCTAAAATAATTTGTTTTCGTAGACCGCAAAAAAATGTGCATGTGCATTTTAAATAATTAAGTAATGCTTTTATTTTTATTATTGGTTATTGTCATCTAAAATTATGAGAATAAATCAATTTTTATGGTGTAAAATTTTAACAAGATAATATATGTTGTTGCTCGTTAGAAAAGTTAATGCTTTTCTAACAATAACCATTTCAGAGGATGGCAGGTGTGGCATAAATAGATGATTAAATTGAAATAAAAAATATATTGATTATCTAAGATGACAGAATAGTTTGATGCATCACCATGGTCATCAAAAATTAGCAAACAACTGCTGGTGTAAGGAATTTATTGTTTTCTGTGTTAACTGGAATTTAAGACAAATTTTTTTTTCGTATATCACGTTTAACCGGTTAATTTCTGTATATTAATACTAATTTGTATTTTTTAAATGAATTTTTATTTCCGTTATAAATGCTTATATATTGTCTTATGCTTAATAGGTTGATCTTTACATTATGGTAACTTGGCGATTTTTTCGCGAAAATTTGGCGACCAACTCTTTTACAGCAACCCTCTATTTTTTTTTTCTCGCCGCCATTTTGTCTTCACGAAGTAAACACATGTTTCTTTTCTTTTTATCTACTGAACACTTCTTCCAACAATCTACTAGCCGAATTACACTTATGCTAGAAATTTTATCTAACAAAACTGCTTAATCATGACAAATATTCACTGCAAAAGTGGGAAAAAGTGCACAATACCATACTCCTTACGCGTTTTTCAAAATAACACATACACATAAACCATGTACACGCCGACTTATTTTTGCTTAAAAAAAATCCCAGAATTACACAAAAATGGCATTGCGCACACTCTTCACTATATCCATGTACACTGCTTTTTTCTCATAAATTGCAAAAATTTCACGAAAATACATGATAATTTCTGAATCTTAAACCCGGTAAAAAGAACATATATGAAATTACCTGATCGCGAAAAAGTTTTATACCCTTTCCAAATATCAACATTTCCACATATAAAATAAATCAAATATCCAAAAACTTTTACCTCTAAATCATCTATTATATTATACACGTCACCAACGAATTCATACCGCAAGCATTACAAATACTTAGTGTCAATATTTAAATTATTCCATGCAGGTTTACTTCACTTAAACGTACACCAAATTCCTACAAACATATAATTCACAAAATAACTATCATTTAATTAAAATATTACTAAACCATGTACACGTCGACTTATTTTTACTTAAAAAAACATCCCAGAATTACACAAAAATGGCATTGCGCACACTCTTCACTATATCCATGTACACTGCTTTTTTCTCATAAATTAGAAAAATTTCACGAAAATACATGACAATTTTCACAATCTTTAAACCCAGTAAAAAGAACATATATGAAATTACCTCATCGCAAAAAAGTATTTACCCTTTCCAAATATGAACATTTCCACATATAAAATAAATAAAATATCCAAAAACTTTTACCTCTAAATCATCTATTACATTATACACGTCACCAACGAATTCATACCGCAAGCATTACAAATACTTAGTATCAAATATTTAAATTATTTCCATGCACGTTTACTTCAACTTAAACGTATACCAAATTCCTACAAACATAAAATTCACAAAATAACTATCATTTAATTAAAATATCACTAAACCATGTACACGTCGACTTATTTTTACTTAAAAAAACATCCCAGAATTGCACAAAAATGACATTGCGCACACTCTTCACCATATCCATGTACACTGCTTTTTTCTCATAAATTAGAAAAATTTCACGAAAATACATGACAATTTTCTCAATCTTTAAACCCGGTAAAAAGAACATATATGAAATTACCTCATCGCGAAAAAGTATTTACCCTTTCCAAATATGAACATTTCCACATATAAAATAAATAAAATATCCAAAAACTTTTACCTCTAAATCATCGATTATATTATAAACGTCACCAACGAATTCATCAATTTTCCCAATAATACCAAATTCCTTTACTTCCACCTTACATTTAGAACAATGCATAAAAATAATATCCTCAAATAATTAAAAATACTAACTTACCTTATCTTCTTCAGAATCTTGATTACGTGTCCGATAAACTTTTCTTTAGTTACGGCCATGGGATCCAAAAATTCACGAACACTGTTTCACACAACACAGAATAAAGCCAAATACAAAATTTCCAGATTTTTTCCCGATTTCCCCCCTTTTCCGATTAAAGAACCGTAATTGGTCCATTAATATCACATGACATATCCCATGATCTGTCCATTCCCTCACACAAAATAATGCGTAATCGGAACTGAGTACTGCTCACATTATTACCAAAGTCCCAGGTAGTAACCTTTATCGCCTCCAAAATGTCGCCAAACTACCAGTTACCATATTGTAAAGATCAACCGCTTAATAATATATTCTTTTCTGTGCTAACTTGAATTTAATACAAATTTATTTTCGTATATCACGTTTAACCCTTTTACATCTACATGCATATTATCTGTGAATTTTTACTACCATATGCTTAATATATTGTTTTATCAGCTAACTTGAATTTACATGCACTAAAAATCACGTTTACGGCTCGGCTCATCGTCGATGAACCGCGAGCTTGGCGAGTAAGAATGCAACGGCGCCAACGGGTTCTCTGCGGATGAAAACCCGTTTTAGCATTTATACGTTTTTAAATAAATCACTACATGATTTTCCCCATGTGTAACGTGTATATGAGCCAGTTTCCCTTTAGAAAGTCCTCCACGAAGGCATCCCTACCCTTAGGCAGATAGCTCTAGTGTGCTTTGCCATAACTAAATAAACCAATAAATCACTGCAGAGAAAAAAAAAATGTAAACTGGTTACGTAAGACAAAATGTATTAAAGCCACAGTTTTGGTTTTAAATAAAAATAAGCATTTCAAAATGATAAATAACAGCACCGGGAAATGTTTTGATATGCAAAATGATAAATCTTTTATTTCGGTAAATAAGGAGAAAAAAAAAGTAAGGACATTACCTGAATTCTGCGATTAACATATTTAAGGCAATGAGATATGTTATGATTATAATATAATAAATAAATTTTTAACACAAAAGTCTACATTAAAGGGACATCACCGTACAATCCATCACCCTAGCATCCATTTAAATTCTAAAATAACTGTTGCCAGCTGTAAAATGCTAACAAGAAATGACCCTTAGAAAATGATTGTTTCCAAATTAAGTTTTATTAACATAATATAGAAGACTCCTTAAATACAGAATCAATCTAATAACGAATGGCACAAATTTTAATCTTTATTAAATATTTCACTGATTTGTAAATAAGAGATAAAATTTAACTCATTGTATTCTTGGCACCATCCGTCGTATTCCAGGGTCTTCCTTGCAAACGCCAAAGTTTGGAATCCAGCATTCTAGGCAGTGCTGGATTCCAAACTTTGGCGTACAAACTTTCTACAAAATAAGAAACAACTTAACCTGCAATGCATGAAACGATTCATATTTCCCAAGGAGGTTAGAATAGAAGGAGGGAAGGTTCAACTCAAACGGTGAAGCTTGGTGGCCATGTTACTGTTATCACTGTGACTTGTGCAAGGAAGTCTGTAATTGTAACATTTTTTTTTTTTTTTTTTTCTTTTTTTTTTCCTTTTTGCATGTCTGTCTGCTTATATTGCATATGGATGCACAAATAGATTTTCGAAAAATATTCCTGGGATTACTGTTCACTCGTAAGTATTTTCTTTTTGTTATGTAATTTCATAAATATGTTAAAAAAATGTCACAATGTCATGTTTGTTTTCTTTCCAGATGTGACAAAAAAGACTTAATAATAATCGAAACATGTTAAATACAATACATTTTAATGCTTTTGCTTACAGCTGGTATCTTCGTTCCCTTAACATACAATGATATATGCTAGGATTATATGCTTGCTGTATAATTTGAACGCTTAGATAATTCGTTTATAATTTTCATGAAAAGTAAGAAATCAATTGTTACTATTTTTATGAATTGTAAAGGTGTTAAATAAAGCAACGCTTTTCCTTATGTATTAATTATTATTCATTCTTAAGTTTTGTGAACTGTTACGAATATAATTTGTGCATTTGATCAGAGAAACTGTTCTGTTGTTAAAATGTTTTTTTGCATAAGCTTACAAATTTCTGAGCAGTATATAGCGATAACGTAAGTAAAATATTTACACAATTGAACATTTGAAAAGATATATCCAAAAATTTATATAGGTATATTTCTGTAATTCAGTTTAATTCAAGGTAATTTCTTTGAGATTCATAAATATGAAACGCGCATAAACTGAAATCATTGAATTCCCCATAAATCTGTTTATTTTATTAAGATTATTTTCTTGTTGATATAAGGTTGTTGATTGTGAAAAGAATCTATTTAAAACTTTCATTTAAAAAAAAAAAAAAAAAAAAGCAACATGTTACCATTTTTTTAGATAATTAATCTGCTATTAATTTCAGGTAAAAATGATTCTTTAATAAATTATAATAATATTGCGAATAAATCAGAAATATCACTTCTTAAAGAAAACAATTGGAAAGTATATCAGAGAAGTTGCTATAAAAACCTAAACAAATTCTTGAAATTATGCAGAAAACATAATTTTGTAAAGGCTTTAATGTTATGCACATGCATTTAGATTTCGAAATATTTCTTAATGATTTTCTGTACTTAGTAAATTACAGATATCACCTTTATAACTTTAAAACAAAAAACTAACAATAGCGAAGCATTTCATTATAAATTTAACATATTTTTACTGGAAAATTCATGCATAGAACAGCTTACAAACACGTACGTTCCACTACCGTATTGCAATGTTTTGAAGTAACAAACATGGACGCCGCTTGTTCCGTGGAGTTTCATTCCCCGATAGTGGAGGAAACTGCGAACCCTCCCTCCTTCTATTCTAACCTCCTTGATATTTCCCGCATTTCCTAGGCATTTTATAAGATGCCAAATGACAAATCGGCAAAGTACAAAATACATTTTCGATCCGTTTCGAAGAACCGAAACTACTTGTCAGAAGTTAAAAAATGCCGAAATAATTACGAAAAAAGAACTGTGGGACTACTGGCCGCTGAATCACTCGGATATGATGTTTGTGGAAAACAAAGGTTCATTCATTTATCCTGTTAAAAAAAGCGTCAGTGCCTTAGTCAGTACTATACAGATTACGTCCCGGTCATTGAGTTATTTCCTGTACGTCATGAAAAATCATTTGAATACTGGTCACGGACGACGTGACAGAATGTTGAAAGAACTTTCAACCAAATTCAGAAATGTTACAGGTACATATTGAACTGTACCTTTGTGAAACCCGCAGAAAAAAACAAAAAAGTATTTAAGAGGGCATTGTTCTAAAACATATGACTGTTTCTGAATTTAATTTCCATTGTCAGGTAGTTAGACTTGAAACCAAGGTCCGTAGAAGAACCTTGACTTGAAACAACATTTAAATGCTAGTTTTTCATGTAAAAGTTAAAGGAAATGTAAATGTCAACATCTTATTCAAATTTGCATTTTGAGCCTAATGAGCGATAAATTGACTGCACAATCTTCTTGGCGATTCCAATCTTTATAAGAGCGCAGGTTTCTAAAATATTAATTCTACTAAGAATATCGTAAGATCTTTACCCATGAATTTTCCGTTTTGATCTGAAATCCTATGACCCCGTCTTTATCGAACGACGAAGGAGGCTTACCCGGATATTTACCGGCCTCAGGGCAAATACTCTCGACACACGAGTGCTATTGACGAATGAAGGGTTATTGTAATTGGCTATTTATCGCCGTACTGGTTATTTTTTGTTATCATACTTTTACGTATGTTGTAATCAAAGGTTGTAATTGCCATGTGAATGGGTTTGGGGAAGTTTTTATAAAATATTTACGACTCTTCTCTTTAGTGGTATAGTTTGTAGCAAGAACTTAAGATTATCATTATACATACGCGTGCATTAAAACTAATCAGTCTGCTCAAAAAATGCATTAGATATGTGATTTTACTCATGCATTATTTCTTCGTACATACACAAATAGAAATATATATTTCTGGCATATATGTATATAATATTTGGAGTGTGCAGTAGTTTTTTAAAATGCATGAAATTTATGAAATCAGATTGAAATCTGTGTTATATTTTATTATCTATTTAATGGAGAGATACTTATTTATTACTGATTTAATGGAGAGATGCGTTTTATTATATTACGTTTTTATTGTCAAGTGGAGTAATCTTTGAAATATTATAAAAACTGTATAATGGATTGTTTTGCTAAGCAAGTTTTTTCCGAACATTACGCTCTGTTAACTCTTTGTTGAATATGTCCACTGTATTATGAAAAGAAACCTGACATTGTATTAAAAACATATTTCCCTAAAAGATTTAAGGAAGGCAATTATTATTCATTTTCTCAAATATTTGTTTTTATATATTATGTAATGAATGTGGAATATTTTTATGATTGCAACCTTTGAAATCAATCAAAAATAAATATTTAGGTCAAAAGAATTGTGTATGTAAAAAAACTTGTCCACATATATATTTTCATGTTAACAGAATTTGTTTTTATATATAATGAACAATTATGTCAGAGTTCATCAATGCAGAGATTCCTTATTGATTTCTACAATATTTGTCCTTGCAATCGTAAAACTGCATATTTGCAAAAAGTATAGATATATTTTCTTTGAAAATAAAAGTAAGACTGTTAAGTAGTGTCTTAGATATCAATTGTTTTATCTTTATTTAAAAATTAGGGCGTAATCGGCAAATTACTGAGAAAATTTAGATGACTAAAAACTAAAGAATTTTGAATGCAAGAATGTTAGATAATTTTAGATATAGATTTTATTGCTTATTACTATATTTAACTACACTTATTATTGCAGCTTATGTAAAATTTACTGTTTCTGTTTAAAAAGTTGTTCTTTTTTACATCCTTTCACTTTTATGAAGAAGAAAGTTGGAAAGCAGAATTATGGTGCAACATTTATTTCATATAATGCCTGCTGAAAAGTAGGACCAATTATGATGTAACAGGAAAAACAAGGAAACCAACAAGTTTTAAGGAAGTATCTGCAGATATCAATTTTAACAGCTAGGTATCCTAAACATTAGTCAAAGTGTAACAAATTTTTAACTTTTTGACCCATTTGGGCACCTAAATTATAGACATAGTGATCTTATAGATTCAAATAATTAGATATTAATAAGTGGTCTTCAACCTGTCTCCTATATCTTGCACAACCAGATATTTCACAACTCACTTTACATTTTCACTGCCATCTCCTTTACAGTTTCCAATGGACTCATTTTTTTACACCGAATATACATGTACTTCTATCTACATAATCTATGTATTCATCATATGATTGTTTCTTTTATTTATGTTTTATTTCTTAAGAAATTGATATGATTTTAAAAAAGGACAACATTTATATTATAAGAAAATGATTTAATGAAGGTGACCCTTTTCTTTTTACAATGAAAAAGAGGACAAAAAGCGAACAAAGCAGGACATTTGCGTCTTTACAAAAATTTTTTTAAAGCAGTCACACGAACCGTAAAACGACTAAAATACAAATAAATTGTTTGTTATTATTACTTCTACATCAATTGGCATGGCAGATGATACCATGTTTATTGCATTTGACAAAATATGTGTATTACAACCTATGCCTAGTGTTTTCTTTTAGAGTAAATCTGGTAATTTTTCATAGACATTATTTACTCCTTTTGCATCTTTTCCCACCAAAATTTGTATTTGTATTATCTGCTGTTAGTGCAACAACTTTATATTTCAAATTGTTTTCATTTATTACTCTGTATAGATGGTTCACCAAAATTTCTTCGCCCTCAATAGACTTTAAATTAAAAATTTTTATGTGAGTGCCATTGTTAACATTATAATATCTTACTATTATTGGATACAATTTTGTTTCATTATGATTCGATGCCTCAGATAAAACTGTTACAAATACTGCATTTTTCAAGTCTTCTGCAAGTATATTGTCACAATTATTATACTCAGAGTATAATAATTATACAGTGAAAGGAAATTTGTATTTGCATCAGATGTAAATGCGAACTATA